GCTCCATTTTGATAATTTTCGGTCGATAACAATATCGCTTGACCTTTTTGAAGTACAACTAACAAGGATGTCCACCACATAGGCCTACATTTTCCCGCCAGAATGGTATTAACATGACGTCATAGTAGCGCGTTTGTAAACAAAACACTGAAAACGGATTTTTACATAAATACACCAAATTTTGAACTTGTGCACAAGGATTTTTACTCCCTTTATTCAAAGGACACGTCTGGCTTAAGTAATTTATTTTTTAAGAAAGTAACTGGCTTATTGTGATTCCGACATCAAGTTCAAGCTTCATGTAACACTTGTGTTCTTCCATGTTTGAACAATATGATATTTATCAAAATATTTTGCATAAAAAGTTTAAAATTTTTGTATAATATTGTTTTACAAGCTGTATTTAATAAATTTATACCACAAAATTTTATGGTAATTTATTAGGCTTACACAAAAATTTCCTAAATATGGCAAAAACATGTTTTGGGCAACTTCAGACGTTGTTTTATGAAGCATAATAGATAGAAGCATGATGTTTGATTAATCCACACGTATATTTTAAGAAAAGACCAATAAATGATTTTAAATAATGCATTCAAACTTGTTGAATTTGTAAAAACTAACCATTATTTACAAAACATTGTATCTAGCATGAAGCACAAAACCAACCCCCATGTTGTTTTTTGACGTGGGTACAACGTTTTAGCGCTCTTCGCTCATTGGATGACTCACTTTTGGAGAACCAATTAGCACGAGCAAAACTGAGCCAATCAGTAGCAAGTATATTCCCTAAAAAAGGATATAAGCACGAGAGCTCTAGGATCAGCATCAGTTGCTTTCAACGCATTGCGAAGGAAGGACGCAAAATGGAAACCTCCAAGCTCATTCAATCTTCCGCCATTCTTGGCACATTTCTTTCATCAACAGGCCGTGCCCTGCATCTAGACATGTATAAGTAAGTAATTTAAAATCTATTATTGATAAAGAAAAATTTGATAAATAACCTCAATTTTTATTGCTTTACAAAAGAGCGTCCATAGCAACGCATATTGTTTTGTATATAGATTGGGTTGTGATGTATGCCAATTTAGTAAAGAGATGGGTGCCACACTAGGGGTAAGTTGCTTACTAGAATTTTTATTCAATGTTTCTATGTTTCGTTGTGTTCGTGTTCTAGCATTCTGTCTCTATCGACTTTCTAATTCTCTTGTTATTAACTCTCTGTCGCTCATTTTAAATGTATTTCAAAAAAATTTCTTTTTTAAGTAACAACAGCAACACTGAGAGAATTATATATCTTAGTGTAGTCTACTTGTGTGCCACAGCTTTACCACAACTACTTCTGCTGCTGCTCTGTCTTTCTTCTCGGCAACAGATCTGCTCTTCTTTCTGGCCTTTCTGCTCTTTGTTGTTTCGTTTGTTGGTTGTGTTCAGTTTGTTCGTCAATTCAACACTGCAATGCAAGACCTCAAAAAACTGAGGAGAACTATAGACTTGTGTGCCAAGTTATATTGGAAATGGCAGAACAGACAACACCGTTACAGACAGACAGACACTTGTGTGCCAAGTTATATTGAAATCAGACAAAACTGTACATTTTGGTTTACAGGGACAGACAGACAGACAGACAGACAGACAGACGGACTTGCAGAAGGTGAATTTTGTTTAATTTTCTATGTACTGTCTTTGCATTTGCCATTTTACGGTGGCATTTCATATTTTATTTGAACCACAAAAGAATACAATTAGAAGAGGGTTATATGTTTAATTTTTCTTTTATTACATTTTCAGAGAATGTGCAGATGAGACTGGCTTTAACAGCTCTGATGAACGATGCCGAAGAAGCCGAGAAACCATTAGGTAAGTACACCTCAGCTCTCACCCAAAGGAATCCCTATAAGTAAAAAAAATATATAATACTAATCATTAGCTTATTTATAAAGCATTGGGATTTTAAAATCAAGCAAACGACTTATAATATTACTTTTCTATTATAGATTTGAAGTTGAGCGCTCTATCCCAGGAACAGAAAAATTTAAGCAAGTGGCTGAACTTCCACACTGATATGTTCAGCATCAGGTACTATTATTTTACTCCGTATTTTTGTTTTAGGTACAGATGCCTTAAAAATGAATAAACAGTGATCATTCTTGTAATTTGATGAGTTATATGAGTAAATTATTTACATTTCTAAATTTGATTTCAGACTGAACAGCATGGAGAGCCAAGCTCACAAAGCATCACAGAGCCGTAGATACAGAAGATGAAGTATTGAGCCAGAGCGCCCATGAACTTTGCATCAGCGAATTTTTAAATCATATTAAAACAGTTAAATATGTTCTAATAAAGTATTGTTGTTTGAAACTTTTGACTTCATTTAAAATTTTCCTTTTACTCGTAAACAGTAGAAATGACATGGGCTGTATACTGAACATTTGTCAGCGACATGTACAAATACAGGAAGGAAGGGGAGAGGGGAATCGCTTGGATCTTCCTGAGAAGAGAAATATATGTTAATTGTTCATCTACAGTTTAACCTGGTTTAGTTTGATTTGGAAATGGAAGATCACATTAAGGTGCTTTAGACCCCCTCTCCTCCAAGTCGTACGTGATTCAGTTCAGTTTATTGAAGTCGAGAGACATACATCTCATAGATTCATGCAATCTTATTTATCGGAGCTAGATACTAGAGGACCACGGCCGGGAACCAGAAGGTGTATACAAAGTATACTAGTTCTGTTAAATTTACAACTTGTAGCAGACGTTCAAAAGCACTTACACCTACTTATTTATGGGGATACGAAGCAAATGGAGAAATTTTGTGATCACTGTACTTAAAAAAAACCTTCACTGATTTTGACTTCGGCGCATGTTATTCCTATCAACCAAAGGCGTTTTAAGCATGTGATTGAAATGATAAGAAATATTAATAAGTACGGATATCAATGAAATACAGGGTGTTTCATAATAAATGTTACATTTTGAGATCTGATTATTTTTCTTACTTAACATATTTCTACTTTTATATCATTTTACATACACTCAGTGCTGAATTGTAAAGCTGTTTTTTTTTTTCAAATCATGTCGCCAATATTCATTCCATTCATTCACAAGTTCATGAAATAAATTTTCAAAAGAAAATAGAAGCTTTCTAGCATGCTTATCAGAAGGATAATAACAAGGTTAAAGGACAGGGACGGACAATATGTGATAAATGACACAGTATTCCAGGAAGCCAAAAAGACTTTAAGTAGTGGAGATTTTAATGGTGAAGTCGAGACTCTTCGTGTAGCGAACATCTGAGAAAAGTGTCTGATAGATATTTTCAGAAATTTATTTTGGCAATATCAACATTTTCAGCATATAATGAACTTTTCAATATGATTTGAAGTAATCAGTATACAATTACAGTGTACTTCTTTCAATAAGTAATGCGAGGAAAGAGTTTGACCTCTGCATCATCTCAATTTTGGGCTAATTTCTGGGGGATGTTCTTCAGGAACAGGGTCTACAATCCTAGACCACAGATATTGAGTGAGCTTAAAAAGATAATGGACCTTCAAATGAGTGTCTATGCAAAAATATGTGACAAGGTTATATACAAATTTCAAGTAGCAACTTCATTTGTTGTAGAATTTATGGAGATCATTTGGAACATGTAATTTGAATTTGAAACGAAAGCATGTAGAAACTTTTATGTGAATATGTATGGGCGTTGGAGAAATAAATGGTCACGTTGTCCCATCTGTTCAAAAATGGAAACTACCTACTCCATATCGTTGCTACAACAATGCTTTTACTTTAGAAGCAAGATCTACGGTGTATCTGTTCAGGAAAGAAATACTTGTAGCACCCTCCCCCACCCCACCCCTTTCTTCAATATACATGAAAGCACACCAACCATAACAGGATCTATCTTGAAGGGAAAAACGTTCGTCTATACAAATCAGAAATGCTGGAATATGTATACTTGTACTTGTATAATTCGGTGTGGTCCTGGTACTCTTGAAATCAATTATTTCTACAAATTCCATTGAAAAACTACCCATGCATGATTTAAAAAAAAACGAATAGAATCTATACTAGTACATAAACTGAGAATGTTTCAATGTAAATATGACTAATCAAGACCAAAAAATCTGTTAAAAGGATTTTTTCCATTTTTTCCTTGTATGTTATCTTTTATTGTGGCCTCCATCTACCCCAGAGCTATGTTGTGAATAAGCTTGAATCTACATCCTTATGTAAAATTTAATCTTTTCTATCATCAAATGTTCGTCAATGCTTAATTACATTTTCTAGATTTTATTGAAAAACAGAAAAATATCTATGTACAGGCATTAATTCACAATATATAAAAGAAACAACCAAATGAATGAGGAATATTGATAAGTTTTATAGATGTCCATTCCTCCATCAAAGACATTTTACTAATATTAAAATTATTTTACTGTTGTCCTTGTGACAAGATTAAATTCTGAGTTATGGCAAAATTTAGTCAAATGCGACTTGTTGGTGGTCAGCTATAGGTACTTGTGCTATTTTTGAGTGAAAAACTAAGGAAAATGTTGTTAATCATCAAAATGTGTATCCACTTTCTCTCTCTCTCTCTCTCAGAAGAAATTTTTAATTCGCATTAGTTTACTTCGCATTAATTTACTGCGAATTAAACTCTCTGTGTGAATAGGGCATTATATTATCTACCCTTTCTCTCTCTCTCTCTCTCTCATCATTTTTTTACAGAAAAATCATAAATGTTGTAAAGCGATATATTAGAATCGGTGTCAGAATTTAAAAAAAAAGATTTAAGCTTTTATTAATTTGGGTGTAATCATTTTTTTTTCATCTTTTGAGCTTGGAGTTTGACTTGCATCCTTCGTCATGAGTTGTCAAAATAAATTAAAGTCTGCCCTGTAAGTTTAGCGATCAATATCGCATCGTTCCAACAACCCTATTGTTCAATAAAACGCCAAGATATTGAAGACCATACTTCTCTAGATTTTTAGAATTTTTTTTTTAATCATAGACTAAATGTATTTATCAAATATATTATAAATACTTAAATTGCATCTCAGCCATATCAACTTTCATTGCGGTGAGGATGAAAAATATTGATTGTATACTAATGTTATCACGGCAGGACGTATCCAGTGTAGTAATGTAGTAAAAATATTACACAAATAGATTGATGCATTAAATTGCAACAAATCAAATAAACGGATTTCCACTTGTCATGTTGATAAACTATAAAAGGAACATTTCATTCAACAATTAAAATACACACGTCACAGCAAAACCGGATGTGTACACTTTGCCATGAGCTCAACAATGTGATTGGCTGGCGAAGACAAGCCCCCAGTACACGAGGTTTATTAGGAAACATAACCAAATAGAGAATACCCAGGTAAGTCTTATCATTTGATATCATCCCGAAAGTTAATATTGCGGTATATTTTGACTTATAAAAGCGATTTCATATAGGACTAAAATCCAACACACAGTTATGATACAAATCCACAGAACAACGCGACATATTGCACGATGTTTTTAAACGATTAGTGTACTGATGAGGTCAAAAGGTCGTGTCATATGTTGTAATGTAAAGAATATATTTTTATAGGTTATGAAAAGTATATATTATGTAGAATTTTTATTCTTTACTGCCTCGGGAATGCCGTCATTTTATCAGAATGTCCGTGTGTACACTGTAGGTAATTATTAGGAACGGAACAAGTCTAGACCGTGACAAGGAACTTCATAAAATCAATCACTGTATTGCTTTTTGAAGAAGAACGTGATTAATATTGAGATTTTAAAGATACATAGTGTTTACATTTCAGTACAAGTATACATACAGATTATTCATGATATTTCGATAATTCTGAACGATAAAAAATTAAACAAATATGTCAATTTGTAACACTAAGCACTTATAAGTGTTTTTATTTTTAAATGTGAACATTCCTAGTCCGATCATTGCGTAGATTAAAAGTCAATATGTTACTGTATGCCCTGGTTGTTTCACCAATTCCTACTAAACACGTGTGTCACAGGGGAAAAAATCGGTTCCACTCAACCATATACTCCCTCAACCATGAATGAATTTAGTAGATTAATACTTTTGATCCTTGAAAATCGTTAAAACTAGCGAACAAATGGGTCTTGTGACTCTTGTCCATGGGCGGATCTAGAGGGAGGGTGGCGGTCCCTCTTAAATTTTCAGAATGGAAAAAAAACCTTTGGACCCCCATCCCCCTTTGGAAACAGAGACCCTACAAAAATAGTAAGAAAAGTGTTATCTTTTAACCTCCAACATCTCGTACGTTCTATGGTCGATACAATGACATCCAAATATTATTTTCAAGTTTGGATGGGAAGTTTAAAAGATTCCGAGTCTGATGAATAACGAGTCGACATTGTGAAAATTTTCTATTTCTGGGTGTTTGTAATTTTGGGGTTTGGGGTTAAATGTGTATACTTTACAATGTATAAATGCGTTTTGATTCATTTGACACATGACAAATTAGTTAATTTGTCGTCTCAATTTGCACAACGACATCGACCAAGACACTGACAAAAAATCGTACGTGTCAATATGCTGCACACTAAAGGGAAGAACGCGATTAATAATGAATGTTAAATTATGAATTTTAAGTGCATTTTAAAAGAGCAAATACTTCTTGAAAAGGCACGCCACGTTTAAGTGCATTTTGCTTTCTTTTTGTCATTTTACCTGAAGGGTTTGTTGGAATGAGTGGACTGCCCGTCAGGAATTTGTTGCGTAGCTGTGTCCCGCGGGCAAGTTTTGTTCGCCAGTACAACGGTGTCAGTGGCGCACCAGGGGTCAAAGACAAAAATGAGCATCCTAACGTTCTAATTACAGGTAGTTACCATAAGAAGTAATCCTAGATCTAAGATATTATTTTCAAAATTAAGAATTTTTATGTTTACGATAGATAATTTTTTTTTACTTGACATTCACACCCCCCTCCAATTTGGCAAATGAATGTTTTAGATTTAGTTTGATGAGAATCGATGCAATGGATGAAAAAATTGCCTAATATGTATTATGTATGCTTAAAGTGTCGTTTGCATTTATACTTTGTGTATTTTCTTCTTACGATCCGTATGTTTTTTTTTTCAGGAAGCCTTGGGCAGTTGGGGACTGGACTTGCCAAAGTAATGAGGTCGGTAGATTTTTTTCTGTATACATTTAATGTTTCTAACAAAGATTTTAAGGTATAAAAGATTCGGGCCTAAAGTATAGATTTAATATAACTGTTTTTGGCTTGATAATAGAGAGGTTAAGCATTTGACCGTGTACGTCTACTTGTACGTGTAAACCTAGAAGTGATTTTACACGTACGCGTAACTGTCATCGTGTTCTGTTTAACAAACTGCACGTGTACCGGTACGTGTAAAACGTCATTTCAGTAAGGCACTTTACAATCCATTTGTGTCAAGTAAATCTATGACTTGAAATAAAAAAGATGCATTGGATGTACGTAATAAATTCTCAACTTCATACCTAACACCGGCTGAAAAATATATATTCTGTAGTTTAAGTTTAAGAAGTACAAGTTCTCACCTACGTGTACTTGCGAATCTACACGTTGTGTACAACTTGTAGAATTCATCGGTATGCAAAACTGATGATGTAAATCGCATTAAATTAGGGGATTTCCCTAGCTACACGTACACGTAGACGTACACGGTCATCTGCTTAACCTCTCTATTAGGCCAGTTTTTTTAAGTAACATTTCAATACAATCGGAAATGCGATACATACATGTATTTAAAAAAAATCTTTTTGTTTACAGACAACGTTATGGTCGGAATAACGTAATAATGTCCGACATCCTCAAACCATCAAAGGAAGTTTCGGAAAGCGGTGAGTGTTCTTTTATAATGTTATATTGGCTACAGATATATGCACTTTGTATTATTCTGTTACATTTTTTAAATAAAACAAAAAAATCTTTTATTCAGCGAGAATCTTTTAAAAGAAACATATACAGATAACAAACAGCATTCAAGGTCAAAAATGCATAAAATAATACAAAAACAGGAGCAGAGCAAACACGGACCTCCAAAACACCAGGAGGTGGGATCAGGTGCCATGGAGGACTGAGCATCTCCTTCCGACCGGTCACACCTGCCGTGTGCTCTTTGTCATGATCGCGAAATAACGGGAAAATCCGTCGTCAATTCAGTGTTTAAATAATGCACTAACAATTAGTATGAAAAACGTCAGTATGACTCAATGATAAATTGTATTTGCTGACAAGGTCATTGTATCGACCATAGAACGTACGAGATGTTGACTTTAAACGAAACTGCTGATATTCTTGTTTCATCAACTTGATTGTCAATAATTAACCTCATTTTTGAAATTATTCATACATAGAGCATGCTCAACTGAGATATATAAACTCAGGTGATAAAAGGATATTGCTGCATAAGTAAGGGAAGTTGACGATTGAAAAGTTAAAGTAATCATATTTATCATAAAGCTTGGTTGTTAAATTACCATTGACGTCTTATTCTTAAAATGAAATATCTAAATATGAAACAGTTGTGTCAAACTCTATGGTATCTTTTATCTCAAGGTCACCAGGATATATGATATCGGCATAGAATGGAAATAACCATTATTAATTGACAACACGTCGTCGATATATCTAAATGTCGAGTTGAAGGCCACAGCAAGTGTTTTCTTCTTTTCATGCATAAGATTTTGCATAATTTCTGCTTCATATGAATACAAAAATAGGTCTGATAATAACGGGGCGCAATTGGTACCCATGGGAATTCCAATAGATTTTCTTTGACCATACCATTCATGATTCTTTTTCTGGACTAGGTCCATATATTTTTGCCGATATATTGACTTTGAAAAGCAACAACATATTATCAAAAGTTTAGCTTTTTCTTGACTAGGTCCCTATGTTTTTGCCGATATTTTGGACTTTAAGAAGCTACAGGAACTGATTGTTAACTACAACATTGACTGGATCATTCACTTTAGTGCACTGCTTAGTGCTATAGGAGAAAACAATGTCCCACTGGCCATGCGAGTCAACATTGAGGGTCTCCATAATGTACTGGAGTTAGCCAAACAGTACAGACTTAAAATATTTGTGCCAAGTACTATCGGTAGGCAGATCGTGTGTCCACTTCCTTGCCAATTCCTTCACTAATTAACAGTTTATTTTTAACAATTTATTAATTACATATCTGTATCATTTATAGGGGCCTTTGGTCCAGATTCACCACGCGATCCCACTCCTGACCTGTGTATTCAACGCCCAAGAACAATTTATGGGGTCTCCAAGGTTCATGCTGAACTGATGGGCGAGGTAATTCTTTTCCCCACTAGGCACTACTCTGATAGTTTTTTAAAGAGTTCCCGAGAATTTGTTTGGAACTTATTTTTTAAATGAATCAAAAGGACTGGAAACAAGCTCTTTCAGCTTACGAGTTCCTTGAGAATTTGTGTATACTTTATAAAAAAAAAAAAAGTCTATATTTTTCAGTATTATTATCACAAGTTTGGTATGGACTTCCGAAGTTTACGATTTCCTGGAATCATATCAGCTGACACAAACCCTGGGGGTGGCACCACGGGTACGTTTTAAACTAAATTTTTCTGTTTCTCCTTTAAATAATCTAATTGGTAGCTTTACAAACAAATGACATTTTTTTCATTCTTTTAGATTACGCTGTCAAGATCTTCCATGACGCTCTGAAAACCGGCCACTTTAAATGCTATCTACGCGAGGACACAAGACTTCCGATGATGTTCATAGACGATTGTTTGAGATCAGTCGTGGAATTCATGGAAACTCCCGACTCGAAGCTGAAAATGAGGACCTATAATGTGACTGCAATGAGTTTTACACCCGGCGAGATTGTGGAAGAAGTCCGAAAACACGTACCGGAACTAAAAGTGACGTATGAAATTGATGGACGACAAGACATAGGTAGCCACTCCGTGAATTGTTTCACTTTAATTCAGTTTAAGATAAATGCATTTTAGAGACAATTACTATAATTCTTCTTGTAATTTGCAGCCGACACCTGGCCTAAACGTTTTGATGACAGTAACGCACGCACAGATTGGGGATGGAAACATACACTTGATCTTCCGGGAATGTGCAAGGCCATGTTTGATTTCCTAGCTCCCTCAGAAAAACCAGAACAAAGGATAAAAATGTAAACTCTAGTGTTAATTGTGTAAGGACTCTGGACTCAAGTCCCGCTAGAGAAAGCAATCTCATGATCAACAAATTAACGCAATGGAATCTCAATTTTTACTTCACATGGAATCTCACTTTTTTTGGAATTGTTTTATTTGCCTGATGTGAACTTTTGCGAGTTTTAATATTTATATTTGGTTTTTTGTTACCTGCTTTATATTGTTAATAAAGCTATAAGTTTTATTTGAAAAAAATATTTTATTTGCATTGTGGAGTTTGAATGACTTTGTTTTGGTTATGAATTTCATACTTTCTCAGTTATATCTTTTTTTTTAATTAAGAAAACGTGTAGCCAGTTCAGAGCATACTGTTTCAAACAAACTCGTATTTTTCTTTTGAAAGAGGGGGGTGGGGGGGGGCAGTCAGCAAAAAATTAGCTGATCCAAAAAAATTGACATGGAAATAAAAGGAAGGGAAAATGCCATAAAGTGATTTTTTATTGGCGGGGAGCTAACTTCAGCTTACTTTAGCAGATTTGTTTTAGCCTGCTTAAATTCTAATCGCTAAATTTGCACCCTTGTTTATTAATATGGAGAACAAGGGGTAAAAAAAACGATCAACCTATTTTTAAACTTTACGTAGTTCATTTTGTATTGTTATATTTTTTACTCAAAAACTCTTAACGTACTGAAATTCATTTTAAATCTGAATTTCATCTCTTGCAACAGCATGGAATCTTTTGTCCGCAAAAATAATCGACATGCTTTGATCAAGCAAATGCTAAAGAAACCCGCTATTCGATCATGTTAATGGCGAATACAGGAAGTCTTTAGGAATTCGTATAAGTACATGCACACGGAAATTTTCATAAATAAGCACCAATCTTATCCCAAATATTTACACAGGATTAGCAGCCGCAAAAAAAGAAAATTTGAAACAACAGGTCGACTTTTTTTTTTCCTTTCATAATAAGAAAATGTGAGAGATGATTGGATATCCTATTATCCACAGTGACGTCATGTGACTATGACGTCACAATAGTCCCGTTTCTATTATCTCAACAACAATGGAACCGGAAAACAGACCTCGCAGGTTTATGAACTTTTTTAGACGCCTGAGAAAAAGAAATCGTGTAAACGTTTACATTGAAAAACCTGATACAGAAGCATGCCAAGCCCGTCCACCTAGGAAAGGTCTGCTGACTAGAATGAGAGACGCGTGGTCACGCATTAAAAAGATCGGGAGGAATCGTGTACACCCCCAGGCTCAGGAAACCTCTGGTTCTTTACCTGATGCGGAGTCAGAAAGCTTATCTGAATTATCACTTACAGAAGGGATAGTCCTGTCTATTGATAGAACGCCGTCACTTATTTCATTAGTAGAGAGCCCGGCTAGGACTTGCTTACTTCCCTATGAAGAGGAATCGGACAATGTGTTGATAGCGTGTTTTGATAGAGACTGAGGTAATAATAACAGTTATTTATTTTAAGAAATGTTCTACATATTTCAATTACCTTTGAAAATAAATGTACTAATACACATTCATAACTTCTATTTCAGCTTTCAGTGAAACTGCTTTGCATTTTCCAAGAAAAGAAACCCTTGCAATGCTGTCATTCTTCAACCAAGGGATCAAGGGAAAAACATTAATACAAACGAGCTGACCCCATACTTTTACTTAGAAGTATGCATGTTGCAGGAAAGTGAAAAAAGGAAATGTATTAACTGACGGGATGTGGGACCATGTCGTAACTGAAGAAAATGTCGTCACAGTGCAGATTGAATGAAAACATACACTTAAAAATTACTTTTACTATCAAGTTATTCATTTTATCTGGTATTATTTCATGTTTTGTTTTTGAATTCAGCAAGTAATATTTTAAAAAAGATGATATGAATATTTTTTTTTTTGAGTTGTTTTTGTTTGTTTCTTCTTTTTTCGTTAAATAACCTAGCTGAGTCGGGTCAGTGAGCTATCTTTGTTTGGCATTGTGCGTCTAGCATTAAAATTTTTAGCGTCCGCTAAACTGCACGATTCCAACCAATTTTGACCAGTAAAATATCTATGGGTAAACCGTAGTGGGTAGTAAAAGTCAACCTCCGGGAGGATGGACTGAGGCGTGGGGCTAACTCAAAAAGTGGGGGATATATGAGACCTGAGCACGGTGAAAGTTTTAAAATCTACTAATTTTTTGTGTGCTCTCATTAATTGCCTTTTGTATAAGAGTGATGTTGATTCAAAGTTATGCAGTAAAACATGGAAACTTGAGTCAGTATAGATACTTTGCAGTTCCTAGGTAGTACTTGTATGAAAAAAGTCAGAGGTGTTCATATAATTATGCTGAAATTGCCTTTGTTCATACAATTCAGGACCATGTTATAAAACAAAGGATTATTACCAATTCTACTTTCGCAATTTTTTGTTATTCTTTACGGTGATTTATATTAAATTTTTATTACAATTAAAGAGAATTCAATTAATTTATGTAATTTTATATACTAGTAAATATATTCTCTAAAAATTTACAAGTTGTAGATATTTAAAAATGTGTACATATTTAAGGCTTCGTTGTTCTTTTGTAAAGCAGAACTCAGGTTCTGTTGAATCGAGAGGGGAAAAAAAAATAACACATGCATTTATTATTATAATTAAGATTAACCCTTGGATTTCAAGCATTTTATATATAAATGTAGCTCTTTCTTTCTGGTTCACTCTCTCTATCCCCCCCTCTCTCTCTCTCTCTCTCCTAAAAAGTATTATAACGTTGGTGTTGGAATTCACTTATTACTAGTATTACAGGAGAGCTAGGTGAATCAAAGTAAGGAATAAATTATCAGATTATTATCATGATTAAATAGTTTTGTATTGTGATTTTTCAAAATTTATTACAATGTAAGGAGTCTTTTACACACAAAAAGTCACATCTTGGTGCAGTGATAGTATTTACTTTTGAAAACAAGAGCATGTAAAAGTTGCTCATGAAAGTGCATCTCTTTGATACATTTTGAATTCTAAGTTCTAAAAATGTCTGGGCTATATAACATGTAGCAAATGGTTTGTAACCACACAATTATTACATGAAGGAAAGCATAAAGGATGTCAATTCCACAATGTCATAAATCATTGCATTAATAGTCGATATGCTCAATCTGCTTAATTGATATAAATTCTTTCATTAAGGCTTTTACGCGGTGATTTAGCATTAGCGGGTTAAAAGGGTTAATGCAATAATTTGTGGCAATAACGTTACAGTTGCGGTTGCTACACACGCTCACACATCCTCTCCCTCCCTTACGAAAATACACCATAACACACACAATATTTTCTCAAAGCTAAGAACAAATGCTACAGTCATTATAAAACATGTTTCTAACCAAGTCATAAAGTAAAAGAATCACTCAAAATGTTTGCGTAACTTTCATTGTTTCTTGGCATTCACAGGTGGCACCAAACGCCAGAATAATAAATCCCAATGCTTCCGTATTGTAAGGACTGAATTATATGGAATGTCTCTTATATGCACACAGCGTCCATGAAGTCGGTGTAAAGTTTTACCTTTAATTAATAGATAGTCCAGCACGTAGCATCGGAACAGAAGGGGACTTTCCCCTTCTTTTGAAACATAAACCTATACTATTGAAAATCTTCATCGTAAGGCCGATTCACCCCCACTTTTTGTTGCAATGATGGTCAAATAAGAGTAACAGCTTATGACCGCACCCCCAACCCCCCGCGCACTGACACAAAATAGGATTTTCGAATATGATTTGCAATTAAGACTCCCACTTTTTTTTTAGTCGACTACTCGACGTGTTTTTTTTTTTTTTTAGGTATATTAGCTGAATTCCCCTCTCAGGGCTATCATATATTTAATCATTTTTCTTGTACATTTTCCAGACATCCCTGTAGGTTAGTTCCTTGTACTTTTTATTTGAGTATCCTGTGTCTTCTATTGATGAAGATACCTGTAAATCACTATGTTCTTTAACCCATCCCCGTTCGCTGAGAAACTCACCAATCTGTAATCTTACATCACATTTATTGATCGTCAGTTTGCTGTAATTTGAACCGAGGTCCGTTAGCAAATTTTCAGGAAAATTGACAAAGTCTGGAGGCAATGCTTTCAGATCATCAGTCCTCCCATATAACGATGTAACTGTGCGTACGTATGTAGAGTGTAGAAAGTAATAAGATTTCTCTTCCACAACTTCTATGTAATTGAATCCTTGGTATTTTTTCATTGCTTGTTTTCGGGAAGATTTGATACTAGTTACCAAGGGTTCAATTTCGTAAAATTTGGCCTCATTTTCTAGTAAATCATAATCAGAAAATTGTTGTGGCAGGCAAAGTTTTCCAGACCTACAAAAATTCAGTATGTATCTAAACATTTGTCCGTCTCGGTCAATGAAGAAGTTTCCATCTTGATCCTTACTGAACAGGGTATCCTCTTTCATCATCAAACCCAGCGTTGAATTTGGATACTTGACAAGGGTGGCTCTTGTGGTGTTATAAATATAACCACCAACATTTAATAGTATGACTTCACTTTTTTCCATTCTCACAAACTGTAAGATAAAAGTATTTCAAATTAAAATGAAATAAATGTTATCGTTATTGTATAAGATGAAGTCTTTCGAAGGTAAGTGTGAGATCAACAAAAAGAGATAAAGATTTTTAGCTGACACGAGCTGAAAACTCTAATGAGCTTTAATTTTCTCATCAGATTTGTTGTCCGGCGTCCGTCCGTTTGAAAACTTTTCACATTTTCGACTTAATCTCAAGAATCACTGAGCTTATTTAATTAAAATTGCAAAAAACACCTTAGAGGTTAGTTTGACCTAATCTTGGCCCTAACTTTTTGGCTCACCTGAGCTGAAGGCCCAATTGAGCTTTTCTGATCACGTTTTGTCCGGCGTCCGTCTGTCTGTCTGTAAACTTTTCTCATTTTCGACTTCTTCTCAAGAACCGCTGCACCAATTTCAACCAAACTTGCCACAAAGTATCCTTGGGTTAAGGAGATTCAAGTCTGTTCAAATGAAGAGCCACACCCTCTTTCAAGGGGAGATAATTAAGAATTAGTGAAAAAATAATGACATCTTTTAAAAATCTTCTTCTCAAGAGCCACTGGGCCAGGAAAGATACAATATAAATTATATGGAAGCATCCTCAGGTAGTGTAGATTCAAGTTCAAAGATCAAAGTTTTACATACAAATATACTAGTATAGGGAAAATATTTGAAAATCTTCTTCTCCAGAACCGTTGGGCCAGGAAAAATGAAACTCATGTGGAATCATCCCAAAGTTGTGTAGTTTCATTTGTATTCAAATCATGACCCCCGGGGGGGGGGGGGGGGATGGGGTGAGGCCACAATGGACGATCAAAGTTTTATATAGGAATATATATGGGTCATTTTCAAAAAAAGTCCATTTTTTGAATGACATATTTTTGAAAAATGAAAGTGGTTTTACTATGATTTTTTCAACTTTATTTGAATAATAGGGTAATAAAGTACTAAAATCCACTGCATTGCATAAAAGAAAATATTTCTTTTAAAAAATATAGATATTTTATCTTAGTCATTTAAACTTTAATGTCCTTCCTGTTACTTTCATAAAAAGAGCTGTAAATCTCTATTTCAAAATTTTCATCAAATTATCTTTTGTATACCGTTAAAAAATGAAAAAATTATCATTGAATGCCAAGATATTTGACATTCATTTAATATATGAGCGTTTAAAAGCATGTCAAACTACCATATACTAAACAGAAGCAAAATCTATGGGTTTTTCTTCATGAAAAGCCTTATTGCAGAATGTTTATATGTTATAGTTGAAAAAAACATTCTTGTACATTATTTTTGTGATTAGAATAAACAGTTACAGAAAGTTATTTAATCAGGTGCTCTGCCAAAGCAATTTAAACTAAGAAAATATACTAGTAACAGTAAGGACTCGGGTAACAGGAAGGACAAAGCAGTGACAGGATGGACAAAACAGTGTAACAGGATGGACAATGAAATCTACATTTTAAATAAATATTGATTTTTTAAAAACTTTATTGGTTAGGAAAAGAGAAATAAATGTAGAATAAAAACATGATTTTGTCAAATCTGGCAAATTTGAGACAATAAAAGACATTTATGTCCATCCTGTTACGAAATTTAATTGTAAAGTGCTATTAAAATATTTATCAGTTCAATTTTTTTTATTAAGGTAGTATATTCTGTTGCAAAACTAAGAATTTTTCATAATTTTAAGAAAAACAAATGATGAAACTTGAATAGGTATATAAATACCAGGATAATTGTCCCTCCTGTTACAATTTCTGTCCATTCTGTTACAAGAGTGCATGTTTAAGTTATAATGGCACTATTTGAAGCACAAACTTATTTCAATATGATTTACGAAGTTTTTTAACATGTGTTATTAAGCTTATATTACCTAGAAAAATAAAAGTAATTGTTTTTATTGTTAAAACTCATGATATGAAGTCCAGTTTTCCTTACTGTTACCATATTAATGGTAACAGGAAAGACAGTAACAGGATGGACGTTTCTCATATAAATCACCCGTTATTTAGTATAATGTACTCTTTTTGCATCATCAAGACATTGAAACAATTTCTTTGTAGCTTAGTTAATCTAATTGTTTTAGCAGAATAAACAATTTAAAGAGTACTTGCATATTACGAAGGTAACAGATAGGACATATTTTCATTATACTCTACCAATAAGACAAACTTATCGACCTTTGGACCCTTTCTTTACTCACTTTCAAATCATGGCGCTCATAAACTTGAGACAACAGAAAATGATGATATATTGCGGATCATGAAAACAGTTCCTAGGAAAGTGAGATAACTTTTATTTTAACATTTTCTTTTGGTAACAGGAATGACATAAACTGGAGGGACATGTCACTTCCTGAATGTTAAATGCACAATACTAGTATCTAGTGGGCGGCATAATTAAAACAATCATATTAAATTAATCTGTAAATGAATGTAATTAATATGAGGTGCAAAATTGGTACATATCTTCACAGGGTAATATTTTCCCTATCATTTAAATAAGCATGTTATAAAATTTTTGTTAATGTGACATGGTTTTACTGTTAAATTTTACTTGGAATGCATAGAATATTTTTTATAAAACACCTGGGAGATGATCATAAAATAACTTATAAGCTGTATGACCATGTATATTAACCAACGGGGAAAAAATTCACTCTAAAAAAGTTTTTCTCATTTTTCTGATCAAAAGACAAAAAAATAGACTTTTTTTGAAAATGACCCATATATATAGGAAAAATCTTTAAAAATCTTCTCAATAACCACTGGGCCAGGAAATTTGAAACGCATGTGGAATCATCCCCAAGTAATGTATATTCAAGTTTGTTCAAATCATGACCCTTGGGGGGTAGAATGGGGCCACAGTGGACGATCAGATTTATACAGGAATACATATATACTAGGGAAATTCTTTTAAACTCTTCTTCTCAAGAACAGCAAAGATTTGAACAAGCTCGAATCTATACTACCTGAGGATGCTTCCATGTAAATATGACCAATCAAGGCTTTGCTGTTCCTGGGATGGGGTAGAGCCACAGAGGTGGATCAAGTTTTACACAGAAATAAATAGGAAAATATTGTTAGAAATCTTCTCAAGAACAGCAAAGCTATGATTGATCATATTTATATTGAAGCATCCTCGGTTGGTGTAGATTCAAGTTTGTTCATTTCATGTCAGTCGTGACCTCTGGGGTAGTTTGGGGTAAAGAAAAATGCGAGAAAAGAAGAGAAACTTTTTTGGCAACGAAGCAAAAGATGCAGAAAAATATCTGCCTGAAAACAATATACAGGGATCCTTAATATATTAAACTAAAAAATGGAACACAACACTGTATGCCAACCTCATCAAGTCAGCCAAAGCATTTAACAGTCCTGCGTTGAAGATCCTCGCATATTATCCATAACAAGATCATTCCATCATTCAGATGCTTTGCAATTTACAAATTCCATGGGCATTGTAGAGGAGGGGTCGCATCCTGAACTATCTGCTTTCTCTTCTTTTTTTTGGGGGGGGGGGGGGGTTGCTCCTGAGAAGGGGTATGACCAACCCAACCACCGGTTCTGCACTTGAGAATGTAATTTTCTCTCCCAAAAGTAAATTGAAAAAAAAATTTCTCGAAACGATTTCTCGTGTTTGCATGAAAGAGAATATATTAAACGTGACGTTTATTTTTTACGCGGTGACACCCCCTATGCTTTCCGATTGAAACATTAATAAAATCAATTTAACATTATTAAACCAAAATTTCAATGTTAATTAGATTAATGTATGTGTAGATTATGGTATATTGTGTTGATTATATGACGCTAACTACTAGTATCGAAAATATGGACACTGTGACATTACTTTTGGATCAATCCTCTTAAATTTCAATCAACTTCTTTCGATTTGGAATGACTTTGATATTTACAGATTCATTAAATTGATAATAAATTTAAATTATCTTAATTTTTAAAATGATAACAATTGTGACTATGAGTCAACAGTAGTAATAAAGTTGAGTCAAAAATAGTAATAAAGTTATTAAAAAATAAAAATGGAAAATACCTGACGATTTAAACGAAATTAGAGGTGTATCAATGCAAGAGGTCAACTGATCTATCTGATAAAAAAGTCCAAGCTCCAAACAGCTCAGTATTACGTTACGCTACAACTCCATATTATTCGTAGGGGAAAAGTAGTCCCAGAGAATTGACACTGTATGGAGTTGGAAAAAAGTCAGTCAGTAGAATAACAAAACTGAAAGATAGGAGATGCTACTTTCCAGACTCGTGATTTCTGTTTACTTAATCTAAAAACTCGATGAGTATACTTTTATTACCTGATACCGGTATATCCTCTCTCGTTCAAAGGTTTTGATCAAGGTGTAATGATAAATTTTATGAAACGTGAGTAAAATTTCAAGGTCAAGAGGTAAAACAGTGATATATATTGAAAGGCTACAGGTAATGTTCATATGACGTACATTGGAAGTGCATGGGTGGAAAATACATTAATTTTTCAGGTGAAGGAGGCATGCAGTCCTCTCCAGACATTTTTGATTCTGAAGATTTAATAAAAACTAGAGAGTACTGTGAGCAATGAACTCACACTAAATTATTACCCCCTCCCATATGATTAAAATGGTCAATGGTTTGTTCTGAGAGACCCGATATAAATGTCAGATCTAAAAGTAAAAAAGGGAGTGCAAACTGGCATTAGGTAATAAAGAAGCTGTGAACGTTTCATTAAATTTTATTAATTTGTGTAGGAGTATTTGTGGATGGATGGAGATAGATACCCTTCAATGTAATAGAAAGATTGCCGTGGAAGTGTCCATGTTCTGCTATGGGAAACCCGAAATGTGTATCCGATCAAAAAGTAAAGTAGGGGTGCACAATAACACTGTCCCAAAGATTCTGTGAATTTATAGCATAGACATCCCTATCACCATATATTATCCCACTTTCAAGCGGGAGTATAATAAAATTAATTCCCATCTATGTCAATCACTCAATATTGATGAAAAGGGAAAGAAGCCGTTTTGTTGTAATTAAAAATACCTGATTTCCATTAGAACCCCCCAAAGTGAGGCTAAGATAATATCTCTTAACACTCTGTGCATTTTGAGGTCTCTTTCTTTCATGACATACTGTGTTTGTGTTTCTTAAAAGTCTTGGTTTTACTTTGTTATCAGAAAGATGTTGAGGCTGACCTGGATCCCAAATCCAGGAGATTCCTTTCAACTGCAGTAGTCACTGCATATGGAAGATGTAATAAGAAACCGACTTTTCTTCTTGAACCTTTTCATTGCAATGTCTGTTGATGTTGACCGTTATTCAGGCCCCTTGACTTATAAAGTAACGATTTCTAATTGGCAGGATGCAGCAGGACGGAGAAGATTTTTTTAATTTATGGCCTTCTATCTCATATCCCCTCCGTACTCTAACATAACTAACAATCCACACCCCCTCCTCATCCTTTCTTTTTTCCCTTTTACCCTTTTCCGACCTAACTGTCTTTCTTTGCTGACTTGTTTTTCGTCTAATTTTCATGTCAGTAGTAATATGTCTGAATTTCTGTATTTTGTTTCATTGTTCGGAATTTTTACTAACTTTCTGTCAGTTGTGTATTTTCAGGGCTTCCGACGTAGGACGACGAGGGAGGAGCAAGGCCGACCAACAGAAGAAAAGAACACCATTGCCCACCCTTGTCTGGCACCCAACATTGAGGAAAGAGGCAAGAAGCTCCTTTTTTGCACTTTAAAATTCCTGATTGCATTAGAACCCTAAGTGTTTGTAAGATAATAGATCGTTGCACTCTGGGAATTGTGAGGCCTCTTCCTCACCTGATATACATGTATGCTTTCTTTGTGTTTCTTAAAGTTCTTGGTTTTGCTTTGTTAACAGAAAGAGTTGAGGTTGACCGGGATTCTAAATTGACATGCAGGATGGACCAGGACGAGACCAATCCGAAGAACAGTGCAAGGAACCAATTCCTTTACCATGAAGCCTAAGAGGGAAAATTTTTGACTTTTTTGCTTCTATCTCCTAGAGGTATTCTAACGTAAATAACAATCCACATTTTCCGTTCCCTTTCCATTTTCCCCTTCTACCCTTTCCCAACCTTCGAACCTGCAATGTAAGGATCAACTCCTTACTTCGAGACTCTAGAACAGACGCTTTAACCACTGCGGCACGCGGGCGACCTTTTCAACAGAAAAAGCATTCCAAATCCAATTTGATGAAAATTTTCAGATAAATTTCAAAATATAATTTTTACTATGCTGTGTTTGAACAACAACAATTCTTGCACCTTATCTATTGTGTTTGTTTAAAATAGCAAGAGGCCTATGACCTGTACACTAACCTGAGTCACAATAGCCGTTCATCAGAAGATTTCTGCAGCAGTATTTCTTTGTGAAATTTTGATCAAATACTGTGGACCATTCCACTCCCAAAGTTATAATTTGAACTTGAACCTATGCTACCTGAGGATGTTTCTATACATCTATACATGTAAGATTCAGAAATCTTTTAGTTTCATTATAAACTATTTCTCGCAAAGCTTAATTCTTCGGTAGAAGATGATATTTTCTAGATGACGAAGCACTTTTTACGTTTATGTAAGTTCTCATACTATGCAATTATGCAAAATACCAAATGCCATTCGAGATATTTGATTTATGGATATGTCAAGTAAATAAATTTTGAAATTGTTAATGGTTTGGATATGATCCGACCCCTGAATAAATTGAATTTTGGTTCTGAATTTGTAAGACGTTTATTTTATTACATATTAATGGTTTTAAATAATTATTAATGGATAAAATAGTTGCAGTTTATTACCGCTGGAATATGTATGAACGCTGAATGACCATGCAATTACTGCTATAACATACCCTTGCTGCATTTTTCTTCTAAGGAGCATTCTCAGTTGTTGGCAGATCTTATGATTGTCATGAGTCAGATTTTAACATTATCTTATGATCTGTATTAGGAAAAATTTTACGATAGTTTTGTGAAATCCAGTCTTGAAAACTATAAGACTACTGGTCCGAGTGGGCTCAGGACTCATGAGATTGAAGGATGATTGTTTTTACAAGTTTGCAACAAGTTTAAGTTTCTAGATAACCCCTAGCTTAATGTATATTAACTCAAACAAAGACTGTATCGACCTCTGTGAGCTTTGATACAAAAATAAGTACACTTGATGAAACAAGAGAAAAATCCATTATTCCATGCAAAAACTACTTTCTCTGCTTTGCACGTAACACCATGACCCCAACCAATTAATTAAACTTAGAAGTGATAACATTAATAAAAAACGAATCTTTTTTTTTTTGGGTACTACTTCATCGTATAAAGGCACGGACATGTACTTGTAGGTTTTTATTGTTTATCGCAATGATCTGATACTGGTAATGTTGCAGGAAAACAGCCACAAATATAAAATGGGACAAGACACTCTTCTTTCTAGTAATGTAAATATTATACATATCTGACCAGACAGATAAACGGAAGCGTCAATTGGTACATTATTTATAAAAAAGAGTTTGTAAATGATATAGTCTTGTTTTCCTGCAAAGCAATTGTAATTATTGCTCACATAATCTGATAGCTAGGTCACGTGGGTTTTCTCTGGACATTTATAAAGAACAATTACGTGTAATGAAATTGATTGTACCCAGATACCGATATTTTTATTTCCTTCAAGGAAAACGAGTCATTGTGCGTGTGAAGGAATATCAAAAGAAAGAACAAAGTAAAAACCGTTGATGCAAACTTCCATTGCGAAAACGTTCACTTTCTACCACAATTTTATGGACACTTTATGATGATGCAGAGTTAAGAGTCGGACATCCGGCAATATCACATAAAACTCAAGGAAGGTCCAGGAATTCTGTATGTTCATTTTACAGTATGAGTGCAGAGACGAGAAGACAGGCGCAGAACCGAAACAATATGGAAAGGAACGGTTTACGTGTGAGACTGTCCCGTCTTGATGGTGAGAGAGAAGAAACATTGTTTGATATCAAAAGGAAAGAGAAATCTATTCTGACGAAAAGAAGGAGTTTTCGTATCCGAAGAGAAAATTGTAAGAAAGCAGACTTAGGGGAGACTAGACGTGGCGGAGAAACGACGATAGAAACCATAGAACGCGGAACAAGTCATTCAGTGCGTCACCTACAGGGATCACTGCGCAGAAGTCGAACAGAAAGTTGTCTCCCCTGTATACCCCCTCTTCCCTCGTATAATGAACGGATGCAGAGTTTACATCTAACGCCTCCTGACCATACCCAAGTCGAGACTCCAGTACCGGATGACAACGAAACTGATCATGATCACAAAGGAGGAAACAAATCTTCATCTTGGGAATGTATGAAACAAAACAATACCAAACATTCTCTTGATCTAGATTTGACAAAACGTGTGTCATCTAATGAGAAAATGGATTACTTAGTGAGGAACGTGTTTGAACGTTTGTACCATGGCACCCGGAGTTTAAAGAAACCACCGGAGCCCCACCTTGACGAAGACTTTGATTCTTTGCGATCTTGCCGTTATTTACGACTTCCAAAGCTAAAATAAAACAGAGCTCATTTGCTCCTATGTTCAATGAAGATTAAACAAATTGTAAATATACATACAGATCTAGTCGCAGAGTATTTTTACCGGACCAGAAAATGGTTCATGGATAAAATATGTTCATACATCTGTTACAATTTGCTTAACTGTGTTTTGACTACATTGCTGTGGGGGATTGCAATTATTATTTTATCTTAGAATTTCTTGCCATGTAATTGCTTCACACGCATAAAATACAGTGTGATTATTGATATTTTTTCTTGTTTTGATACCATGAATTGCAATCTCATACGTGATCTTTTGTAGCCAGTCAGTATTGATTGGAATTTCTGCTGCAATTTGTAAACAACACAGTGTTTGTTTATTTTGGAGACGTCTTTTTTTTTCTTGAGTATTTATCATATTTCAGTCAGCTATGGAGTAGTGAACTGCTTGAAAAAACGTTAACGTATACCGTTTGTTTACTATGTTGCATACATTTTTTGATTGATTGATTGTATGTTGTTTAACGTCCCTCTCGAGAATTT